GTAAGGAAAACAAGGTCCACTTCCTTTAATTTTCATTTTTTTTTATTTTCTCCCATTTTTTCAAATGATTATATTTTTTAATACATGAATAATTAAAAAATGTGTTATATATCAAATTAATCTACATACTCTTTCCATCAAGATCGATTGTCAATATTTTTTGAGATAAAAATTTTGATCAAATTTAAGTTGTAAAATAAATGCATATGTAGTTAACTTTTATAGAAATAACTAGAAGGGGCATTAGTGGAAGTTAGGGGCATAAAATGAGTTGTACATTTGATGTGTTGACCAAATTAAAAAAGTTGTACATTTTCAAACTGAACTATTTTTCTAAGACGGAGAGAGTACTTTCTTTCTAATTTTCTTTTAGGTCTAACGCTATCTCTCTTAACACTCAAAATCATTTCAGGTATCTAACCTATCAAAAACTACGAACAATTTAAACAGGACGATGCAGAGTGACATGCTGTTAAAGATGAAAATGTTGATCGAATGAGACCTTTCGTTTTTCTTTTAGTTTAACAGAATGTCAGATAGTACACTTTTATTTTTAGATCTAATTTCAATAATTATTATTTAATTTATTCTTCTTTTTTATTGCGTGTTTTATGTCTTATGAATTAAATAGGATTGAATTTTTCAATGTATTTTTTCCCCATGCGTTGTTACTGGCAACACGTTCATTAACTAAAACCATTACAGGTTTTTAACTTATTAAAGATTTAAAACCTTTTAAATCGGAATATGCAAAGTGACATAGTATTAAAAGTGAAAATTGAGATGGATTAAGAGCTGGTTTTCTTTTTTATTCTTTTTTTTTTGTTTAACGGGGTCTTAAAAATACTAAAATAGCAGACAAAATCATTACAACTTTTTAACCTACCAAAGACTCGAAACCTTTTAAATAGAGCTGTCAACGAATAGAATCAAGTCCAAACAGTTAGGTGCTCGAGCTCGAGTTCGACAAAAAATTTGAAGCTCGTATTTGAGTTCGAACTCGGTCGAACATCTAAATTGAAGTTTGAGTTTGACTCGAAATAAAAGCGAATAGCTCGCGCTTGGCTTGATTAGCTCGAGTTTTTATGTCTGATAAAAATTAAGCTCGAATGCTCGATAATATTGAGCTCGAATAAATTTTAATACTTGCCATTTTTAATTCAACAAGTTCAATCTATATATTCTATGAGCAAAATTCTTTGACAAATCATAAAAAATATGTATATCCTATTATTACATCTTCAAAATATAAAGGACAATATTTTTTAAGAAATAAAATGAAAAGTTTACATGAATTATATATTATTCATAATAAAAATAAAATAATTTATAATAAGCTCGAATAGGCTCGACGAGCTCTCGAATCAAGTATATTAATACTCGTGTTCGACTCATCTATATAATTGAACTGTTCAAATTTGGCTCGAATTCGGTCAAAGCTGAATTCAAGCCAAGCTTTGACCAAGCTATTTGCGAACTGCTCGCGAAATGCTCGGTTCTTTGACAGCTCTGCTTTTAAGTGAGATAACGCAGAGTGTTATGTTGTTAACGATAAAAATGAAGATGGAATGAGAACTACCAGTTTTTTTTCTTTTTTTTTTTGTTTCAACGGGCTATTATAAATACTAAAATAACAGCTAAAACTATTGTAGATTTTTAACCTACTAAAAACATGGATCCATTAAGCAGGATGATACAGAGTGATATGATGTTAAAAATGTAAATGAAAATAAAACAAGACTCGTCGATTTTTACTTTTTTTTTTTCAACGGGTGATTGAGAATACTAAACTATTAATTTATCGGTAAGGATCATATTTGAACAAATAGTTCTTGCTTATTCTTCTTTTTTTTTTTCCCTTTTGGGTTCAATGGGTTGCCAAAAATACTAAAATAACACTCAAAATCGTTCCAGATATTTAACCTACCGAAAACTAAGAACCTTTTAAGCAGGACGATGCAGAGTGACATGCTGTTAAAGATGAAAATGTTGATCGAATTAGACCTTCCGTTCTTTTTAGTTTAACGGACTGTCAGAAATAAATAGCATCCAATTTCAATAATTATTATTTTATTTTTTCCTCTTTTTTATTGCATGTTTTTATGTCTTATGAATTAAATTGGATTGAATTTTCTAATGTATTTTTTCCCATGTGTTGTTACTGGCAATACGTCCATTAACCAAAACCATTGCAGGTTTTTAACTTATTAAAGATTTAGAACCTTTTAAACCGGAATATGCAAAGTGACATAGTATTAAAAGTGAAATGAAGATGCATTAAGAGCCGTTTTTTTTTTTTTGTGTCAAAAATACTAAAATAACAACAAAATTATTACAACTTTTTAACATATCAAAGACTCGGAACTTTTAAGTGAGATAACGCAGAGTGACTTGTTGTCAAGGATAAAAATGAAGATGGAATGAGACCCACCAGTTCTTTTTTTTTTTTTTTTGGTTCAACGGGCTATTATAAATACTAAAATAGCAGCTTAAACCATTGCATATTTTTAACCTACCAAAAACATGAAACCTATAAGCAGGACAATACAGAGTTACATCGTAGATAAAATCATTACAATTCTTTAACCTACCAGGACTCGGAACCTTTTAAGTGAGATAACGGAGAGTGACATGTTGTTAAAGATAAAAATGAAGATGGAATGAGACCCACCGATTTTTTTTCTTTTCGTGGTTCAATGGACTATTATAAATACTAAAATAGCAATGAAAACCATTGCATATTTTTAACCTACCAAAAACATGGAACCTTTAAGCAGAGTGACATGATGTTAAAAAATGTAAATGAATATGGAATGAGACCCGCCGATTTTTTAATTTTTGCAACGAGTTTGTTGAAAATACTAAACTATTAATTTATTGATATGTATCATCTTTGAACAAATAGTTCTTGTTTATTCATTAGTTTTTTTTTTTCTTTTGAGCACAATGGGGTGCCCAAAATACTAAAATAGCGGTCAAAATCGTTCTAGGTATTTAACCTACCAAAGACTAAGAACTTTTAAGCAGGACGATGCAGAGTAACATGTTGTTAAAAATGAAAATGTAAATCGAATGAGACCTTCTGTTTTATTTTTCTTTAATAGACTGTCAGAAATACTTAAATAGTAAAATTTTATTTTTCTTTTCATTTAGTTTTTTTAATGGGGTGCCAAATATACTAAATTAGCAAAGTCCTCTTTTAGATTCAATTTCAATAGTACTTTTTTATTGTTATTCTTTTTATATTTATTTGTTTTTATGTATGCTAGATTGAATTGGATTGCATTGTCTAACACCTTTGCAAGTTTCTAACTTACCAAAAAATTTAGAATCTTTATAGCAGAACGTTATAAAGTGATATACTGTTAAAGATAAAAATGAAAATGGAATAAGACCTACAAGTTTTTATTCTTTTTATTCTTATTTGTTTTTTAACAGAAAATAAAAAATACTTAAACACCAGCCACAATCATTGCAGATTTTTAACCTACTAAAGATTCAAAACTTTTTAAGAAGGACGTTGCAGAGTATCATACTGTTAAAGATGAAAATGATTATAGAATGATTCTTTTCCTTTTTCTTTTGTCTTTTTTTGTTTGTTGAACGGGCCGCCAAAAAGACTAAAATATCACTCAATACCATTTCACGTTTTTAACCTACTAAAGACTCGTACCTTTTTAAATAAGATGATGTAGAGCGACATGCTAATAAAGATGAAAATAAAGATAGAATGAGACCCTTCGAAAAGTGGCCCTTTCATAATTAAATGACACTCCTAGAAAATATATAATTCATGATATGTTGCTTTTAGAAGTATTGCTTTTTTCCGATACATTTTTTACTAATGACACAAATGCTTTGAATTTTTGTATATACCCTTAAATTTTTGCCTTTTATCTTATTTATAAACAAAACTAATTAATATTTCTTATACACCTTCATTTTTTTTCTTATCTATTGAAATTATGTACTCATATTTAACGTAAAAAATGTAGGATAATTTAATTCTAATTTGCTCACTGTGCAATAAGTTGCACGGATACAACACTAGTATAAATCTAAACAACAAGAAGGATTTTTTTTTTTTTTCACTAAGGTCGGCTATATGAATTATCAATACATAACTCATTCTTCAAATTTGAATATTCCAAATCTTATTTGATACTTTCTTAATTTTCTTTTAGGTCTCACCCTATCTCTCTTAATTTGATTCATGATTCTTTTATTTGCACCCTCTAGGCATCAACTGGAATTTCAACGGTCTCCTAATTTGTAAAATTTAAGTAATATTTTCTAGCGAGAGGAAGTATTTTTTACATTGTTATCAGTTGAATTTTTTTTTTTAAAAAAAAAACAATTGAAAGATAATATGTATTGAATTCAATGTTTTTTTTTTCTGTTCTAATATGATTTATCTGTTTATTGTATTTTGTCATCCAGTAACTTATATCGTGGTTTCAATTGCACGCCGAAATGAACATAAATAATCATTAATTTTTTTTAGCCCTCAATTTCCCCCCAGAGCAAATACATCATTTGTATCCCAGTGCAATTTACATCTTTTGAACTTACAACTTCTATCTGGTAGGTTATATTGAAGTTAAATTTGAACTTAATATTATTGAATTCATAACTTCTTCTTATTAGTAATCACTAATGGTTTATAGTTAGAATAATAAATCTAAACTTTAGATTCTGATACTTTGTTAGTTCCTCACCAAGTGGGAAAAAGAGTTCTTGTTGTTGTTTGCAGATAGTGTTCCCAAACAAAATTTACCATGAATACTTTTCTTCTAATTGTAATGTGAACCTGATTTTCTGAATGTGCATCTTGAAATGATTAAGTCGGTAAGGCTCTGTATTTAATTACTAATTAAAGTGACTTAAGCAATAAATTAGCAGTGTCATCATAGCAGCTAGCAACCATAGGCATTATGAAAGTCACTTTTTTTTTTTTTTTGGCACATCCATGAGATAAAGTTGGTCCCTTTTGCTGCATACTTTTTTTTACTTAGTCGAGGGAGGAAAAAGATAAAGAGAAAAAGGAGGCAACTTGGATTACTAATCCACAAATACAGTACTGGTGCATGTTTTTCTTTAATCATTCCATCTTCAATATTTTCTTTAGTCTTCATCATCCTTGAAGAAGCAATGAATAGTGAATTTCCTTTTTGTTTTTGGGAGTTTTGGATTTGTTAATTGTATGGTGGGATGAGAAGTGCCATGTGTTGAGCTCAGAGTCTTCACATGGCTTCTCTAATTTCCAAGTGTTGAGGCCATAAACTTGATACAGGAAGACCAGATTTTTGGCATTTTCGAGAGAATCAGTTGCAGAGGAAGACCACCATAATTGGTATTGAAACAATAAAATCCCAGTCTTTTAGGAACAGTACAGGGTTGGTAAATGTGAGGCTGTGGAAAGTGAAGCAGCCCTGCAAATTTAGTATTAATTAATCTCAGCCCTTCTCAGGCTTTCAGGCTCTCTGGCTCTCAGCACTAGCAAGTAATGCATTATTTTATGGTGGAAATTGGAAAAGACCCACAATTTTCTCCTTAATCTCCTTAATCTCTTAACATGTTGATGTTTCTTTTAGGCAAACCAGTTCATTTCTAGCTATATACTTTAGTTTATTTCTCCTCGGATTTCTAGAGGAAATTTACAGCTTTAGAGTAAAGGTTTTTTGTCTTTAAGCATGTTGGTGTTTTCTTACTTCACTCCCCCCTCTTCACACATTCATTTCTATGATGCAAAATCCTTGCATGCTCTGTAGTTTGCTCTGTAATTCCATACTTATTCAGGGCTTCCCTCCTTTTGGCATCTGGTAAAGGGATCAACCAGCAAAATGCTCTGATTGAGACCTTATAACCACTTTCACATTTTTAGGCAAATCTAGTCTTGATATCATCAGGGAAGCCTTGATTTTGTCCAGCAACTCTGATTAAGTAGGCTTTTATCTTTCCAGTTGAACCCAGTTCACATTGGGTTTCAACATTAGGAAAGAAGGGTCTGTTTATACTTTTCCATTTTCTTTCATTTGATTCTGGAAGAGAATGGGTTCTACTTGGTGCATCCTCCAGAAATCAATACCATTATTTTCTATGGCAGTCACCTTTTCTGTAATGGTGACACACTTTTCTGGATATGGGATTTTTTCCGTTTTAATCACAGGCTTCTTGTTGATTTTGTCCCCCTTCATTATTTTCATATATACAAAGCAAAGCAGAGGAAAACAGATCGAAGGAGAAGTTGTTGTTCTGAGTCAAATCTGTGATGAGCAGCAAGATTCGTCTCCTCTGGATCAGGTTTGCAAAACAACAGCACTGCAAGAAGTTCCAGTTGGCAAAGATGAACAGTGTTTGAGTATGGAAGAATCTGAAAGAAATTTTTCACACACACAGAAAAAGTTCGAAACTGATCAAACCATTTCTCAGGATCAGAAAAGGGCTCATCAGAATGAGTTGCGCAGGCATGATTTGTATTCAGAAAGCGACAGTACTGTTGATCATTCATTCTCAAGCGAAGATTCTGACAATGAATGGAGTTATTCATACAACTTTGGTCGGAGCCCAGAATGCTCAGATGATTCCATTTCCGATGAAGAGAGTTTGATTGAGATAGCCATTCCAAGCGGCCATTATGTTTGTCCAAAAGAAGCAGCAGAACCCAACAAGTTCACTCATCTGCAGCAAAAGCTTCAGAACTACTGCACAGAAACATTCCTTGATCAACATGGTATTATCTGGGAGCAGTTTGGGAAGGTTAATGATTACATGAATGAGGAAGACAATTTGATTGAGATTGACTTGTCCATGGGATCCATCAAGTGTTCCGGGTTTGAGATTGAAGCCTAGCTAATTAATTGAGTGACAAAACAATTATATATATATATATGTAAAATTTTTAAAGCCTTCATTGTTATGAATGATCAGTATTCTAAAGTTTTTGATCCTCTTATGGATTTTGAATCAATAATTTGTTTACTTTGTTAGGGATATAACCATACAAGGTGTTAGATGTTTGATGATTACAAGGATATGGAATTGTCTTATATTCTGAGTCAACCCCATGAGAGTAATTTTGCTCTTATTGTTATATTGACTAAAAGTGGCCGAAACTTTGAATTCGAAATTCCTAATGCTCATTATTCTCTTTTTAAGTGACTTTTTAGGTCAAAATTTTGGATACCAAATAGGCTTTCGGAATTGGGGTCCCTTTGAACAAGTAAAATGATTTTCCACTAGAAATTCTCTTATCATCTAACTATTCTGGCTTTTGGGACAATCTCTTATCATCTAACTACTATAATTTTTTTTAATGTGTCGTACGAAATACTATGTTATACACTATTAAGTAAATATCTGGGTGTAAAAAAATTTAATTATGTTGCGACTTAAACTTTATTCTCACTAATAATTGTTTGAAACATTACAGCCACCGAATTCGTGTATAAGGAAAATTTTTTTAAAAAAAATTTACTCGTAGAGTGAGACGATAATCACTTTTTTATTATTTTTCTTTCAAATAATTATTTTAGTAAAAGTTAATTTTTAATGTATTTATTAGAATTTTTTTTTTAATCAAAACTACAGTCGTATTGATTTATATGTTTGATATGTTTTAGGTAGAAAAGTTTTTGATTCGATATTTTTTAATTACAGTATTGTATATTTCAATCTAATTGAAGTATCTAACACTTGTTTTTTTAAAAAAAAAAATTACAGCATGATATATATCTTTCATTTTCTCTTTGATCGTTGTTTTAATAATAGAATATATTTATTTTTACTCAAAATAATATAATTTTATTTTGGAAGGAAAACATTTCATGAAAGTACCACACCTCAGCACTTCTTCTCTTTTAAACTTCTATTTTAATAAGTATACTAGATGTTACCCGCACGACGTACGGGGTTTATTCATATGCATTTATTAAATATATATATATGTGAATAAAACTAAATAAGGCTACCAAAATAACAAATAAACATATCATGCAAAATGAAAGTATTTTATATCTATATACAGAAAAAAATTAACATTAATAATATGTTAAAGACTGCAGCTAAAGTTATTTTATTAAATTCATATATGTAATTATTGTTATTAACTTTTATTACAAACAATTATGATAAAGATATGGACCGTCGTGTGAAAGTTCATCTTTTTTTTTTCTTTAGAAATAAATCTCATATTCGCAAATATTTAGATGAAAAAATCCAGAAGCTAATTTCATATTTATATCTAATTGTAATGCTTACTAGAGGCTTGTATACATTAGACACTGTAACTAATTCTCATTAGAAGAGTTAAATCTTAATTTTTCAAAATTGTATAAAGATATCTGCATATATATATATATGTGTGTGTATATATATATATATATATATATATATATATATATATATATGCGTGTGTGTGGTTTGATCATCATTTCTCTTTGTTTTGGCTTCCCCTTAATCAAACTCTATTTTAGTGTGGTAAACAAAAAAAAAAGAACATATTTTTTTTTACTTTATGTATGACATCGTCATTAAAAAAAAAGAAAAGAAATTCAACAACCCAGAATATAGATTCGACAATCAATGTTACAATATATATATATATATATATATATATATATATATATATTTTGGTTGTGCCTTTTTAAAATGAAATTCAAGAGACTGCTAAAGTCTCCATCCGTGTAGGATCATTTCTGAAGTGAAATTTTTTTCTCATATGCATTGTTCATATATAGTGGATCTTATAATTAATATTCACTCTCCCAAAATAATTCTTCATTTTAATCTATTTCTTTTAGTACAATTTGAATTAAAAAAAAATCTTAAAATGAACAATCATTTTGAAACGAAGCATATATATGAAGCTCAAATTTGTAGCTTTTTTGGCGGTGAACATACGTTATTTTATTTTATTTTTTGCTCTTTTTGGGCATAGGTGGATTAGCAACACTGGATTAGAACATACTTATATAGGCTATCGATTTTAATAATATTACTTTTTAATGAAATCATGTTTTGATATTGATGGCCTCAATCAATTATAATTATGAGAATCATTATTATTCTAAAATTTTAAAATTTGAAAATGTAAGTTTAATTAGTATTAAGGTTATTCTCAGCTAAATTATTTGTAGAAATGATTTAAATTAGTAATTTCTGCATCTTTTTTGAAAGAAATTTGAATTAACCTTATTTTCTTTCAACTCAGTTTATTACATTAATTAATTAATTGGTTGTCTACAATGAAGTTAGGAGCACATTTTCATTACTCCCTCTATTTCATTTCAATAGGCTCACTTCCCCTTTGGGGATATTTCAAAACTTAGTCCCATTTCAGACAAGTAATTAACTTTTTTATGAACTCTCTAATATACCTTTCCCACGTTCATTGAAATCAAGAACGTTTAATTAATTTCAACTATTACTCTCTCATATCAACTAATAACTCATTAGTCATTATTAAGGGTGTGGTAGGGATTTTATTTAAAATTAACTACATAAACTATATTACTCTCTTTTTCTTAATCTCCGTGTATGTTTAAATGGGCCTATTGAATAATTAGAATGGAGGAATATTATTAATATTATTAGTTCGGGCACATTTAATACCTCATTAAATTTGATTGGTATTTTAATCTTCAGGTAATAAAGCACACTCCTTTTGAAAATGCTACACATGAAAGAGTGTAAGTTTGTTTAATTTAATTTGGAGGATCTTTTCCTAATTACACTAAAATGTTTTTGGGGAAATACTTTAGAAAATTACACGTAAGATTTTATCCTAACTAGTACTTTTAGTAATACATTTCATTTTCTCTTTCCGATTTCTCTCTTAGTATAACATTACAGATATTAGTTTCGACTTTTAGAAAATGGCACTTTGGGTTAATGTCTCGTTCTATTAGTTATAGTATAGCAACTCAATTAATGCACGTTACTTTTATTGTGTCGGTAATATCGCTAACTAACATCCATAATCATATTTTTTATTTATAGACATAAAAGTATTGTTTTATTATTTTATTTTTTACTATTATTTACCACGTTCATTGTAATGTACAATAATATAAGTTGTCAAATTAATTTACAATCATCTGATGATTGTTCGACCATCATTTCTAATCTTATAAGAAATATAATATCGAATAGTTTTTACCAAAATTAAATTATTTGATACATTAACAATTGCGGACAATTGAAATCCATTAAATAATAAAGCGATTTCTTTTTCTCTTTTTCGAATTTAGGCCGTACTGAAAATTACTTACACTACAAGTAGCAAAAGCTAGCCTATTCGAATAATTATTAATTGACAACCAAACTCATAATTATTAAATCATTATACCCGATAAATTTTGTATTGTACTTGAAGAAAATTTTTAAAATAAACCAATTTTAGCAAATTTTATCTTTGAATGTAAATCTAGAATGTGATGAGACATAGAAAGATATTTGCTGATTATGAATTTGAATTGAAATTAGAGTAAGGAAGAAAAGTTAAATTCACTTGAATGAATAATCATTTATTATTATGTTTTTTTTTTTAATTTTTATGATGGAAATTTAAAAAATGTATTTTTTTATGGTCGTGCGTCGTACGAATTTCAGATATTGTTGCTTTAAAGATTGAAAATTATCATTTGTTTAATACATGATTATACTCGTTGTAATAATTTTTTGTATATCATTTTTTTGTTTGATTATTGAATTTTCCTTCTTTGTGGTACATGAGTTCTTTAAGACTTCATTGAATTAAACCCTATAAAGCTCTTCACAAAATTGTTAGTGTTGCCTATATTTCAAAAACTTTAGTTACAAAGTTCTAATGTTGCATATCATATATCAGTTCACTGGTAAATTTAAAAAATGTATTAAATTCAATTTCTCTCTCTAGTATCGAGTGTTGGTTGGCTTTCCTCCACTCATGGACATCTCTAGTGATTTGTTATAAATAATACATATATGTATCGCTAATTTTTGAACCCTATCTTGAAACCTAAAGTTTACCTAGAATGATTTACATTCCATTATAGTTCGCATGCTCTGCAGTTGGTATAGGTTTATCTGCCGCTAATTAGATTCATAGTATTATCGCAAAAATAAAAATAAAAAAATTCAAATATTACTATTTTCCTATAAAGGGTTGCATGATGATTTATTAAACATAAATCACTGATTGACAACAATTTGTGACCAGCTTCTTATGACATTATTCTTATTCTAATGTCTACATGTTTAGCTGTGTAACTACATCAAATTTATTTGCAACAACTAAATTAATTAAGGAAAATTTAAAGATTGGATGATTTGAACGTTCATATTTTTTTTATTATCTTTACAATCAACAATTGACCAAATGCACAGTAATTCACAATAGTTTTTTATTCGATAGATATAATGAGAAATTGTAATTAAAATTATGCCAAGCCATGCCTCGAGGGGGGAAACCAGTGAAGAAAGTTCCCCTAAAGAAATGCAAAATCCATGAAAAACAAGGACGACAACTCTGATCAACCATAAGAAGAACTAAGTTTCATAGAGAATAGAGAATCTAAAGAAAAATCTCCAGTGCAAGCAAACCCTAAGGCAATTGGAGATTTAGGGAAATTAACAAATGAAGGACAAATGAAGATGGTTATTTAAGCTTCAAGATTGACTGATTCATTAGGGAAACGTAAATTATCGTGTGGAAGCAACATTAAAAAAGAAGGAAATACTAATGCGTGGAAAAATTTTGATGTGAAACAAGATGAGGAAAACTGGAGCCAAACTTGAGTTTAAGCTTTCTCAGATAATCGATGGAGTTTCAATGGCCAAAATTCAACCTCAGAAAGTTGAAATTGAAGCTGAATACTGGAAGCCATCGGTGGTCAGCTATGTCCTTGGAGCTCACCCCATGAACACATTTTACAGACAGCTTTGGGGACATCTTGGAGTTGATAAAGTTATGCTCTTACCTACTAATTTTTTCCTAATTAGATTTAAATCTATGAATGCTAGGGAAGAGGCACGAAATTGAATATCTATTATTTTGGGAATGGGCATCCGATAATAGTTAAGTCATGGAGAGTAGATGAAGGAATTAACTATAAGGATGTGAGTTTTGT